ATTTATCACCCTCCTCTTTATAATCACCTTTTATGTACTTGAAGACTGTTATCATATGTCTCTCCCCCCGCCCCCCAGTCTTCTCTTCTCCAGACTAAACAAACCCAATTTCTTCAATCTTTCTTCATAGATCATATGTTCTAGACCTTTTATCATTTTTCTTGCTCTCCTCTGGGCTTGCTCCAATTTGTTCACATCTTTCCTGAAGTGTGGTGCCCAGAACTGGATACAGTACTCCAGCTGAGGCCTTATCAGTGCTGAGTAGAGTAGAAGAATTACTTCTCATGTCTGGCATACAACACTTCTGATACTACATCCCAGAATGACGTTCGCTTTTTTTTTGCAAAAGTGGTACATGTTGACTTATATTTAGTTTGTGATCCACCATACCCCCCAGAACCTTTCCGCAGTACTCTTTCCTAGGCAGTCATTTCCCATTTTGTAAGTGTTCAACTGATTGATTGTTCCTTCCTAATTGTAATACTTTGCATTTTGTCCTTATTGAATTTCATCCTATTTATTTCAGACCATTTCTCCAGTTTGTCAAGATCATTTTGAATTCTAATCCTCTCCTCCAATGCACTTCCAGCCCCTCCCAGCTTGGTATCATGAGCAAACTTTATAAGAAATAGTTCAATGCTAAAGCCAGAAGAAGCCATTGCAAACTGCCAGTCTCTCCACCTGCCTATCTAGGAGGACAGCACTGCTTGGTTCATATTTGTAAAGTTATCATTGTAACCACCAGGGCTAGATATTTAACTCCTTAAATGAAAGCTTAGTTTGCACCCATGGCACTTTCTCGTCCTAGCATCACACTTGCCAAGAAAAGCTTCCTACCTACCACCGGAGCGTAGGAGAGCGGATTTTTCAAACCCTGTGCTTAATTATAATCCATAGCAAAGATAGGCACATGGACAGCCTGTGGGTTTCAGCCCCAGACTCTCAAAGAATAAAGGCCAAAGTTACAACTTGCATAAGCAGGCACAGTTTTATTGAAGTCAACCTTGCACCCAGAGTTAATTTGGAACCTGGCTTAACCCATCAAGTTTCTGAAGTTGGATCTGGTCTCTGTATGAAAAGACAGTTGACCTGCTGCCTCTCTGTACCTGTCAAAGCTGTGTTAGCCATTTGGCTCTAGTCCAATACTGCATCCCTTTTCATTGCTTGTAGAACGTATTGGATGTGCACATGGCTCCCCTTGACCTCTGGAGGAATCACATCCAAGGGCAGTCAGTGAAGCATGTTTTGGTACAACACTGACATTAGTGAGTTGCATTTTTTTTTTTTTAAAGAGGATGTTTAACCGTGGTTAAAAAGTCAAGGTCCTCAAGGGCATTCTTTTTAGTTGCAAGATCCAATGTAGGTGAATTGATGTAGTCTGCTGCTCTTGCATAATTGATAACCCTAAAAGACTGCTTTAGAAAAAGGTCTGTGATCACCACATATCAGTAAATTCATCTAGTCTGAAATGTCAACAAGTTAGTTCACTGCTAGAGCTAAAAAAGCCATTGTGAATGTGTGTGTAAAGTGTAAATATTTACCAATTCCTTGAAGCTTAGCACTGGAGGAATTATTAGGAAACCAGTGGGAGGGAATTTTAACTCTTGTCAGTGCATATAACCTTTCACTCTACAAATAGAAACAGTGGATAAGTAATAATATGTGGCATTGTGTGCAGTTACGTACAGGCAGATGGTGAGGCACTAGGCTAAAAGCATTGCTGCATATATTGTTGATCAGTGAATTTATGCCAAGGGTAAACCTTGGTAGTTGAAAGTCTGACAGCACCTCTTGCAGTGGGAGAGGACTGAAGTAAAATGCTAGAAAGGGGTTCTCTCCTGACTTCCAGTGCTGACTTTTTATCAGATCTTCCCTAGCAAAATAATGTGCTTGCTGTGGGTGGCCACAACATAGCTCATGCATGTCACCTTAGTGAAAGTCAGAATGGCATTACACTACTGGAGGGTTAGTCTGCTTACTAAAAAGTCTTGGACCAGGATCTCATTGATTTCTACAGAGTTCAGGGCCGGTGCAACTACTAGGCGAAAGCCAAGTGGTTGGGGGCGCCCACTGGGTCTTTGGCCTGGTCCACACTACCCCCCCACTTCGGACTAAGGTATGCAAATTCAGCTACGTTATTGAATTCGAAGTACCTTAGTCCGAACTTACCGCGGGTCCAGACGTGGCAGGAAGGCTCCCCCGTCGATGCCACGTACTCCTCTCGCTGAGCTGGAGTACCGGCGTCGACGGCGAGCACATCTGGGATCGATTTTATCGCGTCTAGACAAGACGCGATAAATCGATCCCAGAACATCGATTGCCTGCCGTCAGACGCGGAGGTAAGTGTAGACGTACCCTTAGTGTCCACTCTTCTGGTTTTCCTATCCCTGTTCTGATCCTTCCTGCAGGCTGAGTCTTCCTGGGAAGGGGATCTAGTAGTTAAAAGAGAAAAAGCCTCCAGCCTGCCAGACCTATTAGCACAACACTGAAACTGTTAAAGAGCCATTCAAGGGGTAATGAAGCCACTTAACAGGCATTTGCCAACCCCCAGGTATATACTGTCAGTTTCTGAATGTACTGACAAAAACAGTTGTGCATGACTGTCATATTTACTCAGGACATGTCAGTCTACAGTATCTTAGTTTAAAATTTGCTTTAAAAATATTTCATTAGTGAGTTGGTGAAGATTATAAAATCACATCTCTAAAAAATCCTTGCATAGATTTTTAGATGCACAATCATCTTTAGCCTTAAATGCTTGAATCTTCAGACATATGGTTTTTTAAATAAATCCTTCAAAAGACCTCCCTTATCTAAAATACACATTTTAAATTACTATAGTAAAAAACTTACTTCCAAAGTCTTCCAGTCCTTTCTGTTCATCCATTTCTCCCTTCACCCCCTCTCCCCCTATCCCCATTGAAGAGAGCCCTTAAACGGACAACAGCCCCTTGCTCCCAGATAGCTGGACAAAGAGTTTCCCTTTCTTTACTTCTGACTATCTGATGAACTAGTTTTAAGCAAAATCAGTACCTTAGTAAGATATAAAATCCTTTGTTATGCCTAAAATCTTTGGAAACATATTTTTTAAAGTTGGTGAAATTTCATAAACGTGTATTGTTATGGAGATCACACACAGTAAATTAGTGTTCCTTTTTCTAAAAGAAATGAACATTGTTATGAACACACTAAACCTCTGTAACTGATTAATTTAAAATAATGTCTGTTTCAGTGAGTTAAATATGTAGTAATCTGGAATGATTACTTTATGAAGGTTTAAGAGTACATTTAAAATATAAAATCAGCTTAGAAATACTGATTAAGAAAATGTAAAACAGAGAAGAGCTGCATCATGTATTCCATAATATTTAATGCTGTATTCAGCAAGACAGCTGACTCACCCTTACTACAAAGTTTTTGCAAATAAATGTCTGACAAACTTCAGGGCATATCAAAAAACCTGTGACTGACATTTTTTATTCCCAAATTTAGTGCTTTTAATTAGGTACCTTCTGCATGTCCATTCTGCGTGAGGGAGAGGGTACAGGGATCTCTGGGGGAACTGTGACTCTCCGCCACCGTGAGGTGGGCCGGGCGTCTTGTTATTCTTTCTGCTTTGTCCCTCCACCCCCACCAGGCTGCAAGCTCAGGCTGCCGTCGGGCATAGGGGCACCAGTTTAATAATACTGCATAGGGCCCCATAAATCCTAAGGACGGCCCTGGGGGCGCCAAAAAGCGGTGCCCTGGCTCGGCAGGGAGGAGCTGCCTACCGGAGAGCCAGAGCGTTGGCTTGTGGGGGCGGCGAGCCCCAGCCATGGAGGAGCCGGTGCGGCACAGGGGGGCAGGAGCCCTGCAAAGGCGGCAGGGCACTGCTAGCGGGGAGCAGCCTTGCCCCTCCTGCCCAGGCTGCAGCCTGGTGCCCTCCCCAGGGACTCCTGCAGGCTGCAGCAGGTGCATAAGGGGAGAGGCCCCCGTGCGCCCTTCAGCTCCCCCCTCGCTGTGCTCGGGGTCTGCGTCTCCCGGGCATGTGAGCCACTACCTGGGTGCAGGGCCCTGAGTCTGCTCTGGGAGGGGCAGCAACGGCAGCAGCTCACACTCCCGGGAGCCGCAGAGCCTGAGCGCGGCGAGGGAGGAGCCGGGGGACACACGGGGTCCTCTGCCCGCATGCATCCACTGCTGGAGCCCCGGGGGGGGGGGGGGGGGGCGCTGGCCGCAGCCTGAGCAGGAGGGGTCAGGGGTGTGGCTGCTTCCCGCTAGCGGCGCTGCCGCCTTTGCAGGACTGCTGCCCCCCTGTGCCGCGTGGACTCCTCCATGGCTGGGGCTCACCGCTGCCGCAAGCCGACGCTCTGGCTCTCCTGTGCCTTGGGAAGGTGGCTTCTCCCTGCCGAGCTGCTGCAGCGGCCCAAGCCCGGCAAAGCCAATGAGTGGACTCGGGGCGGGGGCCACCAGGGTGGGGAGGGGAGGGCTCACGGGAGGGTTATGCACCCTTCAGGGGGCAGGGAGGGGGGAACCTGGTCTGGGGAGCAGCCCCTGGGCATGGTTGGCTCCTGGGCAGGCTGGCCCCTGGGGTCTATAAAGGCTTGTTGGGATTTGCCCCTCAATGAACCGATGGGCGGGGCGGGGCGCAAGGTGGAAGTTTCGCCTAGGGCGCAAAATATCCTTGCACCGGCCCTGACAGAGTTACACCAGGGTTGAATATGGACTAGTGGGTAACGATGGTTTTCTCATTTGAACTCAATTATCTAGTGTTATGTAGTGAAAGAGCAAGCATTACTTCCAAAGCTGCAGTGTTGAACCAGGACCGTCACAAGTTAGTTTAATCCATCTCTAGCTTTAACACACTAGTTCAATCAAGGCAAAGTTCTGCCATTTCCATTCTTATAAAACATGTTCATACGCTTGGATTTACAGTCAGTACTAAGTGGTTACTCCTTTCCTCCATCCCCACATTCACTCTTAACCATTGTCTTAACTAAATGTCTGTATTTTTCCCCCCGCAGGGACAAAGCTGGTGGTTATGGAATCCAGGCCCTTGGTGGAATGTTAGTGGAATATGTTCATGGAGACTTCTTGAACGTGGTGGGCTTTCCTCTGAATCACTTCTGCAAAAAGTTAGCGGAGTTGTATTATCCACCCCTCAAACATACCATACAGCATGTCAAGCATGACTCTATCCCCTCTGTCGAGACTTTTGAGAACCTCAGTGATGGAGAGAGTGACTCTTCAAATCCCATGCAGCATAAAAGTGCTAACAAATTAGAGAGGAATGGGGTGCCCCTCTCAGGAGCCATTCATACGCCAGTAAACAGTGGTAGCATCAAGCCTGTTTGTACAGTGGCTGTGGAAAATCAGAGTGGAGTGATGGAATATCCAGCTAAATTCCCATCAAAAATTTTGGAACTTATGGATGGCTTCAGAGCTTCAAAGGTAAAAAAACAAAAATACCGCTCCTTGATTTAATCTTCTCTGCACTGGTGAGCTAATACAAATCAAATTTGTATTTTTAAACATTTCTGTGTAGTTTGGAGGTTCTAACAATAAAGCAGTACTACAACACTGTGCATGTGTATGGGGAACAGCCCCATTCAAACAAATGATCAAATGTATTTGTTTTACTTTAATATGCATTCTGATTCTATGTGTGTTACGCAAGAGAATGGCATCTTTCAGCGGCTGCACCAGTGACCCAGGCTGTCGTACCAGCGCACATTCCAGTAAGAGGCTCCAAAACAACCAGTAGCCTCAGGGATTTACTGCACTGGGCTAGCAAGGGCAGCAGAATGCCTAGGGGCATTTTGAAAAGTACCTTTTAGTGATGCAAATACTGTCTGTGCATGTTTTGTTATGACATTCCAAAGCAGCAGCCAATGTTCCCTCTAATTTTTCCCACGCATATGCAGAATGAATTTTATGTGCACCCAATATGGAGGTGATGTGTGACACCCCACAGCTCTCTCTCCCCACAGCAGCACCTCGGCTGGGGGGGAAGAGGCACCTCTTCTCGTGGTAGCTCCGGGCCAGGGCTGGGTTGGGCCCAGGGGAGGGGCGCCTCTCCCCCTGGCTGCAGCAGGTCCGGGGGAGGGGCGGTTCTGCCCCTGGCCATGGCAGGTCCTGGACTGGGCTGGGGAGGGGCGCCTCTCCTCCGGGCCATGGCAGGTCCAGGGCTGGCCCTGAGAGCCTGCGTGGCACTGAATAGGTTGGTGCGTGGCCGCGCAGCTTAGAGGGAACTTAGGCAGCAGCATGGAGGGACATCTTAAGAAGTGCCCTTAATAATGAGCACCCTTAGATTTAAAGCAAGTGGCAATGCCCCACTGAAACATAGACCTAGAATGCCACTGAATAAATTCGCTAGTGCATTTTACTTCAGATCTGATCCTAATACATGCTGAGCACCTGTATCTCCTATTGATTTCAGAAAGTGGGGGAACAAAGGTGGGAGAGAGGAGAGGCAAGAATCCCGATGGGACAGGGACATGTATATAAGAGGAAAGAGCTGATTACATAACTGTTAAAATATTATGTGTACTTGTAACATTTATTGAGAAACTTTGTGAATGGTCTTACATCCTAACATTTATTTCATAGTAATCAGAAATATTATCTAAAACAATATAAATGGTGAGAGAAATATATGTCCATAGTGACTCTTCTCCTAAGGCTGTGTTGAGATTTGCATTTGAAATAATATTAAGATCCTTTTTCATTGTAATATTTGAATTTAATCTCCATGTTTGGCACAATAACACTTCAGAGGGCAATTGAACTTTCTACGTAACTTTTTTTTAGTGAATGCTCCCTGTTAACTTCTGCAGAGGAAACACTCCAAAATGCCCCCATTTAAAATACATATTTTTATATATATGTATATGTAATGTCTATTGTGCTCTACCTCAATCCTTTATCCTTTCATGTATTTGTATTGTAGGTTCCTGTAAGAACCACCTTCTCTTGATTGCTCAGATTTTGTGTTTTCTCTCTACTTTTCACTGAAATACTTCTCTAAGAATCTCTTGTATGTGAACCAGGGCTGTAGCTGATGATCACAATGCAGTAGCTTGTGTTGGACCTTCATGAAGACATGTGCATAGAAGCGAATATTCATGTGCACTCTAGCAGTCAACTGTGCCTGGAAACCAACTAATGGATAATTTTAGATCACTGCCAGGTTTCCTACTCAGAGCCAGACTAGTGCAGCTAAAGAAAAGGTGACAGCAGTGAAGAAAAAGAAGATGAAATAAATGCCAAGTATTCTAATTAGAAACAGAGAGATATGTGATCTCTTCACAAAACTCTGAACCAGAAACTCCTAGGGTGAAATCCTG